TTCCTTTTTTTCTATAAGTCTAGCTTTGCTCTTCCTTGTAGGGGTACTATGAGCCACATGCTGCTCTGCGTGGGTTTTGGGTTCGGAGTCCATGTTACGTGTCACGTGAGTAGTCAGTGAGTCTACAACGAAGATAAGGATCACGTGAGCAGTGATTTTTGTTTGTGTTTCTGGAAGTTTGTGGATATTTTACTTTGGCTCGTACGGCAAGATGGGCTTTTGGCGTTGAAATAGTTTTTTGAGGAAATTACATTCTCCCAGGACTTTCAAGTTCACTGTGCATAAATCATAGACTCAACTTTTCCAATCAAATATTCGATATAACCCTAACCCTAAAATTCAAATTCATTTCGCTCCATCCTTCATTCTCTCTCTCCCTCTCCCCCCCCCTCCCGTCTCTCTATCCTCTCCATCACACGAGCAGCCACCATCGCCGAAGACCACAGCGTCATTCCAATGACCTCTTCCGAATGTGTAAGCATCGTTGCATAGTGGCTCGCAACGCTGATGTCGTTGCAAATACTGCGAAGAGCAATGATGATTGCCGTCACTTGAAGCAGGTGCGACGTACAATCAGACCTTGACATGTTGCCGATTGGTTGTCGATGCAAATTCATGACCTCAACCTTCTTCTACGTCCAGTTGATAGTGATTTTGGGTGTTATCTCTTTTGTTTTGCGATCTGTAGATAGTGATTTTGGAGTTTTGTTAGTTGTATTTTTAGATCTTCGTCGTGGTTGTGGTGGTGATGTTGGTAGTAGAATTTGATTGTTGGTGGTTTTAGGGGGATGTGATTGTAATGTTGGTCGTGGTGGTGGTCGTGGAAGTGGTGGCAGTGGTTGTAGTGGGACGCCATGGGATAGGAGTGTTTGTTCATGGTTGTGATAGTGTGGTGGTGGTGTTTCTGGTTGGTGGGACTGTAGGTACAATGGTGTTGGTGAGGTTGAGAGGTGGTGTATTGTTGGATGTGTTTGGAGGTGTTTTCTAGCTGTCGTGGTGGTCCTAGTGGATGCGATGGTTTCTGGTGGTGGTTGTATTGTTGGTGTTGGTCGTGGTGGTGTGGTAATGGATGCGGTGGTGGTGTCGGGATCGGATATTGAATGTTTGTGACCAATTATATGGTCACGTTTGTGACTATGACCATAAACTGTGACATTAAAATTCAATCACTAGTCATTAAAAAGTAATTCGTGATTATTAAATTTGAAAATATGTGACCTGTGACCTGTAGTTTTTTGATTTTGTGAGCAGTGATCTACAAAATTTTTTATTTGTAACCAATGAAATAATTTGTAATCCACAAAATTTTTGATTTGTAACCTCGAAATAATCTGTAACCTACAAAATTTTTGATTTGTGACCTCGAAATAATATGTAACAAATTAATTCGATTATATGTAATCAATAAGTAAATCTATGACCAATAATTACGAATATGTGGTCATTAATCGAATAACTGTGACTTTATTATATTTAATTAATAAATATTTTCAATTAATTATATAGAAACCTGAATTTTGAATTTTTAAACTTTGCACCAGATTTGTGACTTGATGTAAACAATACTCCTTGAGTTGTGATGTTTTCCCTTTTACATATTATTATATTTATGTCTCGAATAATTTTTATTGAATTATTATTCTCAAAATAATATAAATTATTCACAATTATGATTTCTAATAGAGTAAACAGACTCATTTTTTTAATTATATTTTCAAATAAGCAAAACAAATATTAATACAAAAATGCAATTAAATATTTGGTTATCATTTTAAAGCATGTTAACAATATTTTTTGACGAAATTCAAGATTAATGACAAAATTTCAGTAACTGTGTTTCTCACTAACCACCTGGCTAGCGCTCGAGCGATGGATTGATTGCTTGCTAGTCATGAGACCATTGCTCGAGCAATCGTGTTATTTAGCCAAAATTCTAATTGCGATTTTAGCAATTTTTGCACTCCTATTCAGCTTCAAACACTCCATTATTGTCTATTATATTAGGACTCTACCATTTGTTAGACTCTTCTTACACACACACACACGAGTCATTATACCCTTTGAGAGATCCAACCAACATAATTTACACTCCTTACATATTTTGATATTAGTAAACTGTTATTTAGCCAAAATTCTAATTGCGATTTTAGCAATTTTTGCACTCCTATTCAGCTTCAAACACTCCATTATTGTCTATTATATTAGGACTCTACCATTTGTTAGACTCTTCTTACACACACACACACACGAGTCATTATACCCTTTGAGAGATCCAACCAACATAATTTACACTCCTTACATATTTTGATATTAGTAAATTTTCTTCATCTGTCCGTAATTATTTCCTGATTGAATTTACACATAAATCTTATTTTCTTATTATTATTTTTCATATTATAATATTCTCATTCAACACCCCCTACAATAATCGTATCATTCTTCGCTTGTTCTAAACTTGGAAAAGACCACTCTAAAACATTATCCCTTTCTTTGTCCAAATAGAAATCCATCCATTCTCTCTTGTCCCCACCATTTTTTCTTCACTTATATAAGAAATCTTAGCCCTCTCTTTCTCTCTCGCTCTCTCTCTCTCAATCTCAAGGAGTTCTGAAATTTCCTCAATGCAATTCAGCCCGCCAGTCAAGACAAAGACAACCAGCCACGTTTTACAATTTTTAATGTAAGTTCTATTTTCATCATCATTTTGATTTGTATTTTTGTTTAATAATTCCACCATTATCTGTCCACTTCCTTTTGAGATACAAAAGTTGTTGTAGACTCGTTTGATTAATTTTATGAAAGTGCTTCTCTTAATTTGAAGAGTTTTTTAGAGAGAAAAATTGCTGCAATGTGATTTTCTCTGAAAACGGTTTTGGAATAGAAAGTTTTTTTTTTTTTTTAAATTAAGTCAACGTTTCTTCTAAAGAAAGTAAAAGCAAAAATCATGTCAAATGAACGTATATAATGTTAATTTTGTTATCAATTTAAATTTTATGTTTTTTTGAAAAAATTGGCATCTACTAGAGAACCCCATACTCAAATTGTCCGTATTTGAATTTCCTAAAAATAAAAATTTTTAGTAAAAATTAATGATATATATGATTAAAAAATTAAAAAAAATTAAAATCCAAAAATATGTTATTAAAATTAATTGTTGATTTGGACTTATAACTTTTTTAGTTAAACCAAATAGGTGCGGTTACTTTATGAATAATTTGGAATTCAAGAATTAGAGATTAAAAATTTCCTCTTGGGTCGCATTGAGATTTTATTTATTTATTACTTCTTAACTAATTCATTGATTTTTTTTTATTTTCTGAACAGGTACAAAAATATGACCTAATTGCCTTATTGGTTTCAAAACTTTGTATAATTTCCAATTTGACCCATATATATTCCCATACATGGCAATGCTTAAGAAAGTGGGATGGAGAGTCATTTTATTTTTCAAAAACTCTTTTTCAACTACACATTCTCATTTAAAATAATTTTACATATAAATCAATAGTATTTTTTTATTTTTTAATTATACATTCTCCAAAAAATCACCGTTTCTAAATACTTCTCACAAAAAATGGGCAATAGCTCTTCAAAGCCGTCTTCCCCGCCACCTCCACCTCCACCTCCACCTCCACCTCCACCCCCTCCCCCTCCGCCCCCGCCTCCGCCACCACCACTGCCGCCTCCACCACCAACCACCACCACCCTCTTCGCCTTCTCCACCGGAATCCCCAGCCGCCCCCATATCACCACCACCACCAAAATCAT